TTAAAATTATAAAAATGGTAAATTCTATAAAAAGCAAACCAATACACCAATAAAATAAAGTATTTTCCGCGAGTGTATAATTTATGAACAAACCAATCAAATATAAGATAACGAGTCATGGATTTTAGCGCGAAATTCATCCATACATTTATCTAAGTAGCGTTTTGGCATGATAGTTTATGTTAGTTCATGATGAAAACCCTAAATCTAGTTCCTAACCCTAAAAATTAACTGTAAATCATAATTCTAATTTCTCACAATGGTTTATAACCCTCATTTAATCCTAGTTATTAAGTGGACGTTTTCAAGGTCACTTTAGCATCACTCAAAGGTCATCCATAAATTATAGTTTCACCTTATTTTCTATCAAATTCAACAATAACCATAGTTTGTTGTAGAATATATAAACAACAAATTGTAATTATTCCGTAAAGAATAGAAACAATTAAAAGTTTCATATAATTTAAGAATGGAAATTGATAAAAATCAAAACTATAAAAGTCAATTATAAAAGTCTAATTGAATTAAGTGTTTGTAATAATGAAAATTGATCAAATAGAATGTAATTTTCTTTGATAATCAATACCGTTATCAAAATCTGTACATTAGTAACAATAAAATAATAATAATAACAGATCGAAATATAATTTTATTTGTCTGTTTACAAATTGAAAGTGATTTTCACTTAAACACCTTATTTTGATTACACTTAAAAACTATAAGTGCCCAGGTACGGCCGAGGGTTGGGAGAGATAGCTCTCCCTTTCGAAATGCTCTCACATGACCATGAATATACAGCGACTACCACAAAAGTTCTAATTATTGCTTTCTCGCGGAGGGGTTGTTGTTTACAAAATTGAGAGGACAAAAAGCGAATGATCGGAGCTTTAACCGAAATGGTGGATATGGAGGATTCATCTAAGGGAGTTGGAAAACCCTGATTCCAAACTAATGGTGCACATGGACTCCAGGATACTGAGGGAACAATAGGAGTACGAACCAATTATTGGTCACTGGTTACCATGGGGCTGCATCTCCTGACGTTGCTCCACTGCCTTGTGGATCAGACTTTAAGGTCGAAGGCTCCGGTCGCGACCCCTAAAAAATCACCTGCCTTGATCTAGGCACCCGGGCAGTAGTATCATAGCCCACACACAAATCAAGTGACTTGTGTGACGTATATGTATTCAGTGCCCCTTTTTACCAATATTTATGTGTTCAAATAAATAAATAAATAAATAAATTATATTAGATTAACTTTCAATTAAGGTGTACTTCTATAAAGTTATTTTATCGTCATTCAATTCCATGTTTTTTTTACAAGTTTAAATGACATTATTTATGGTGTGCTGATTTTTCTCATCAATGGATAACCTTTGTCTCTCTTATAGTAAATTCAGAATAAAACAACTCATCTTCTTTTTTATTTAATATACATGCTGATATTTATAAATTTAATTGTGTACGTTATTCTCTGTTTATGTTTCTCATATTGTATAATTAATAATCGTACTAAATTTGAAGAAAAATGTGCATATTGAGGGTTATATATATGATAAAGTGCACAATTATAATAACGAAATAAAAGAGATCACTTGGTTGAGTGATGTCAGATTTTTACTGTTCAGTTCTGGTGGCCTGCTTGAATATCTGAAATACCTGTTCCTATCATCTAGATGTTTCAACAAGTTGTCCTTTTTATTTTAACACAATATCACATCTATTGATTGCATTACCTACTCAGGTGTGTATATGAAAAGTTTACGTTTTATCGCTTCACAAGGTACAAAAAAGTATAATCATAAACATCGTGGTGGCTGACAACACGTCTTGAAGAGAATGAACATTATTCAGATGTCGATTTCTGAACTGCTAAATTCTAATTGTCGATCACTGATAGAAAAGGTGTACTATCTTCAACTCTTACTAAGTCAAAACATGTATCATAATTGAGGGGCAATCACAATTCAAGAATACTGGTTAGGTGATTTACAAGACGACTGCTTAGTATCACTGCAAGATTTTAATATCTATCGTCAAGATCGACCAAGCAATAAGAAAAGGTGTCGCGGCGGTGTAACCATGTCTGCAAAAGTGAACTGATGTCGATCTACTTTTGTATGTTCTAACTTTTCAAACGACTTTATCGACTGTTTAACCTTAAGATGCCGTACAAAACACTTGAATAAATACAATTATGTTTGTTACTAACACCTACGTGACTCCAGAGTGCACATCATCTACACTATCAGTTTTCGCTTATGAATTCACTGAATTTGTTGTAACTGCTTTCATGGTTTACTTTCAATTGTAGTTGGTGATTTTAATTCATGTGGCTGTAGCTACCTTTCATCACTTGGCCACTAGATTTGCTCACTTGTTTGGATGCCTATTTAAACTTAGTGTTTGTTAATGATGTGGGTACATATGTGTCCCATAAACGTGTTCCACTGTCTAGTTTTGATCATTGTATAATTCGTGTTCTACCTAAAGTATATATCATACTTGGAAAGAGTACACTCTTACATCAGACAAAGAAATTTAAGTAAGCAAACTACTCAGAAGAAATTATCCAAAATCTGAAAAATATGTTTCGTACGACTAACGGGATTGTTTACGGATTGCTCACTGGAAAACACCGTTGATATTAGCATTTGTTATCATAAATTCTATTTTGATATTTATTGTCCCCCTGAAACCATTTTTATAAGTTTTGATCAGCTTACATCTCCACAAATAAAACGATTTCGGAGAGTGAAAGAAAGAATGTACAATGAGAAAAACTCCATTGAAGCTCGAAAGTTAAATGTTCTAGTAAACCTAGAGATTAGAAGTCTGGACTCAACGTTTGCTCATAAACTATCCCGTATAAGCTCTCCAAATATGTAAAAACTATTTAAAGAACTTAAAAGTGAGAGGTAAATTAAAAGTGATAACCAGCTGAACGTTTATCTTTTGTACGTCAGTCGTCTGATGTCATACTCCCTATATCCACAGGTTTGAAGAATAGTTGTGTTCCTAGTTTCACTGAAACTAATGTTCGAAAATGTCTCTAGTCGCTTAAACCGTCCCAATTTCTAGGATTTGATGAAACCCAAAACCTCCTTTTTAAAAAGTGTGCTAACATTCTGTTTTATCCATTCACGAGCATCTTTCACAGATCCTTCTCAACTAACCTCATACTGGAAATGTGGAGAAAGATAAAGATAATCCTAATACCTAGGAAAGTATCTGGCGTTAAGAATGTTAAATTTAGACCCATAGAACTAACTTCAACTTCTCTCAAAACAATGCAAAAATTAATGATACTTCCACTTCAACTTGCACTAAACGAACACATTGATCCGCATCAGTTTGCTTACAAATGCAAAAGAATCATCTTAGATGCCGTTGCTGTTCTGCATAATAATATAGTGTTCAGCTGGAAAAAAGGGTTAAAAGTATGTTCGATGCACTTTCCCGGATTATACTTCTCCCTTTGACTCTATTCCACGATAACTACTTAACACGTTAATCAGGATCAAAACTGACACCTGAGTAACCTAATGGATATTTTCCTAACTCTCTGGAAGGGAATAGAACTTTATTTGGAGGAAAGTGTTCAACATTTCTACTCTATCATGAAGGTGTGCCACAAGAGGCTGTTCTTTACATCTTCTTTTTTCCTTTTTTCTACATGATCTGCCGTCTACCACAGAAAACACTTGTGTTAAATATGTGGACGATCTCATTGTATGTATGTCAATTTCTCCCTCTTTGTATCTCCCTGAAATGAAGGAATTTTTATCTCGTATTGAATGGTGGTCTGTTGTTAATGGTCTCATAGTTAACCCGTCGAAATGTCAACCTGTTAACTTTAGCCTGAGACATGAACAGCACCTAAACACCTTGTCGGGATCCAATAGATTTCGTACCACCGGAGATTCTTTGATAAACACAGTGTCAAAGTCATTTATCTCAGTGAGAGGTTTTCCTTTGATCTATCTTGGTCTTCTCATACTTTATTGTTATCGAAGGAATTTCTTCGTCTCACTTACTATATAAAGAGGCTGCATTCTTTTGAGATTACTTATCATTTACTCTTAAAATTTTTCGGTTCATGCATATTACCTATTATTCTTTACTGTTCACCATTATTCTTCCCAGCGCTTTTGATAAAAGACTTTGCTGTATTGCTAAGAGTGTTAAAGGCAGCTAGCAGGGCGTTTGGTGAATATTTTGGGGTCATTATTAATAGGATTGTGGATAGGCAAATAAAGTCTAACAAATTTCTGAAAGGTGTTATCTTATCAGATACTAACCATCCACTTCATTCATACATTTCTCCTTATACGATACGTCAATACATTAGAATCCATGTACGTAAGCAAAAGTTTAAAGGCTCTACAATACCTCATCTAGTAAATATACTATGTGACGAACAGGGTGTTACAGCTGATCTGGTCAATAACTTACATTCCGAAAAATGTTTCTAATTAAAAATGTTTTACGGATTCAAATTTTCAGTAAAAAAATTCATTTAGCTCCAGTTAGTTAATCTACTTAACTTATGCACATATGTATGCAATTATCAGTTTCTTTCAATTTTCTTCTATTTTTTTGTGAAAGAAACTTGTTGGCATACCTTATGCTGAGGTTTCCATATTGTACCAAAAACATAACATTGAATAAATCCATTAATAATATCAGATTAATATATATATATATATATATATATATATATATATATATATATATATATATATATATATATATATATATATATATATATATATATATATATATATATATATATATAGAGAGAGAGAGAGAGAGAGAGAGAGAGAGAGAGAAAGTTATCTGGTTAATAAGAACCGATTAGAATCACAACATGGCTATAGTATTCAAGATTTATGCAGTAATCATTTTGATTTTAATGGAATTCTAATTAGTATGCATGTTTCTGTTCAAATTCCAAAGTCCACTTATTTTGTTTCTTTATTTTCTATCATTTAATTTAGATGGTAATGCAGAGAAAGCTGGTCTCAAAGCTGGAGATCAAATTATTGAAGTGAGCAATTTCAAATGTTAAATGTTGATTCACCCAGAAATTCTTCTTGAATATACTTGTTGTTTTTTGAATTCATCAAAATATTTAGTTTTAGTTAATAAGTTATCCATGTGTTGTTGGTGTTTAAGAAACTTTATACAGTCAGATCCCTTTAAAAATTTGATCAATGCCGGGACCACAGTTTTAGCAGAAAAACTTGAACTCTGTATACCACATGGATCCTACTTAACTTCTAACAACCCTATTTCATATTTTAAATATCAAATCACTAACAATAGTAATAATTAAAATGTCAATCTCTATTCTATGCTATATAACGTTACTTTAGAACAGACTAATGAATAATAAATAGGAAACGGTAATTAATTGGAATCAAAAAAAATATTTACACTGGCTGCGTGATAACTACTTCAGATTTAAAAGAATTCAGATAATTTCTCAGAATAGAAAGCGTATAATGTATCTGAAAGCATTTTTAAGGTAGACGAAATCTCTTAAGCACAGAATAAAACAGTAGTAGTAATAATTCTATAGTCTTACATTATGGACTTATCTATGTTAAATAACCATCGCATATGTGTACTGTTAAAAAATACACTACTATCACACAATGGGTATCTAATATTTCTTGGTTTTCTGTGACTGCCTAACTAGGAGAAGTCCGTGATGTAAAACAACGAAATTCAACAACCTCCACAACCCCATGTATTAGAAAAACAATCATATTAGTCATAGTAATAGCTGAAAATAGTAATAATAATAACAGTAATTAAAAGGGAGGTAATCAAAATTTTTAGTTTACCTTCCTTGTTAATCATACTCATCAGTCCTGGATCGATATATAATTTCTTCAAAAGTCAGAAATATTACTTGCCACTCTATTCAGAGACTATCCTAATATATCATTGAAACTGATTACCACAGTATAAGATTAGGAAATGTAAACTTGTCAAACTACATTTCTAACAAAGAAATCGATTAAAATCCGAGTAGGCCTTCTGTAAAGTTTACTTAAAAGTAAATTATTCTATAAATAATAAGGCTTGCATCAAAACACTAAAATATAGACAGTTTATGATTGAGATCATTAACTGATTGATGTTAGACCATCATTGAAAATCTGGAAGCACTGGACGGCCGCTTTGTCCTATTGTGGGACCCTCAGCAGTGCGCATCCACGATCCCGCTCACGGGATTCGAACCCAGGGCCTTCAGTCTCGCGTGCGACCGCTTAACCTACTGGATCACTGAGCCGGCATCCAATGGTGTTAATGTCTAACCTCAACCAATCCACGAAGTTTAATTATATTCTGATTTGTGAGAAGAAGCATAGTTCATTCACTTTACAACCAGAAACTATTTATTAACAATCACTGATCAATTTAATCTTAAATATCAAAAGAAAAGTAATGAATATCCTTATAATTATTGAAGAATCCTGAGACATTGTTATGTAGAGATTTTTCATTATGTTTTTTATGAGTCCTCTTTAAATCTATAGGTGGATACATACAATTACTGAATGCTAAAATTTATGTTTACGTGAAAACACACAAATGATTGTCAGGTGTTTTTTTAATTACCTTACTTTTTATAATGGTTACATGATCACAATAAAGTCTACTGATTATTAAATAACTTATTAAATAACTTCACTCTTCCTGTTCAGTAAATATATGTAACAGCTGATGTTTCATCGTATCGAGTTTTTTTTGTTGTCAAAGGGAAACAGTAAGCATGGTGTATATGCATGTTTTTTGTAGCCTTATTAATAAGAGAAAATACTCAATCGATTAAGAATATGAAAGGCAATAGATTTTAATGGAGTTTTATTCTCTCAACTGAATGGTTTAGTTGCGGAGCCTTCATCGTTCTTCTGAACAAACTCCATCATCTTAAGGCGATAGATATTTATCTACATACGTAAAACATTTTTCTCAGAAAATAATTTTACAATTAATGTTTCAATCAATCCTAAATATTATGAACAATCATTGTTTGAAAAGGTTAAAAAAATGTTTGAATAAACTTCCCTTGTAAGTTTCTTAAATCTTATTCATAGTAATAATCGTAACCGTAGAATGTGTATAAATACAACTATGCTACAATAAAAAACGATTTTGTGATTTCTTTTAATTTAACTGATTTTATAGTTGTATAACATGAAATCAGTAAAATGTATCCAATTTATAACAAACTTAGTTTCACTGATTGATCATTAACACAAACAAACAGTATGGTTTTGCAAATATGTTTATTATTAAGTAATATAATAAGAAACGTTTAAAACTAAGTAACATGATAATAATCGTTTTAGTACTGTTAAATGGAATAGAATAAGATCAAAACTTACTTGAACTCAAATAAAGTACACTTTGTAACTTAATAGTTCATTCTGTGAGACTATAAATTATTTATGAATCACTCAGAGCTAAGACTGAGAATCTTGAATTTTGGCGCGAAATTAATTCACCTCTATGACTAAAGAATATTTTCGCATTATAGTCGATGTCAGTTCATGATTAAAACCCTAATTCTAATACTTAATCCTAACTTCTAACTTTAGCTACCAGTCCTAATTCTACATGCCAATTAATAGCCCTATTTTGACTCTAGTAAGTAATTGGAGTTTCTCAACATCACTTTACTATCATTTAAAGGTCGTCCATGATTTATAGTCTCCCCATTCACTCTTATTTTAAGTCAGATATGGTATAAATTCATGGTATCACACTAGGCAGCTAAATATTGTATAACAAATGAATGCTGAAAATTCTAGAATTACATCTTAAATGTTTGCTACTCTATTTCATATTGCCACTTAAATTATTCTATAAGGTGTGAATAATTCTATGATAAACATCACTGCAAAAATAATGTATTGACTTTATTTCTTCATATCAATTAACGTTTGATAATATCATTGCTTATGATTCATGAGGTGCGCAGATCTTTAATGAATGAAAATATATGAAAGAAAAATTGCAAAATTTTGTCCTTAAAATGTATTTAACAAACTAAGATTACTTATTAATTGTAATGAATATAATGATAAAAAGCTTCGAGTCATCTAGACTGGTGGCCACATTGCAAATTGGTCGATAGCATTCGATCTGCACTAAATAAGGACTTGACAAACACATGATCACCACCCAGTGATCAATCAATTGTGATTACATCTCAGTCCTACAGGATGTCGGTCGCGGCCCGGATAGCTCAGTAGTAACGTCTCTGACTGTAAAGCTGGGTGACACGGTATCGAATCCCCCAGGGAGCACCAGTTCCCTCAAGATTACAGGTACACCTTGGTGACGAGTGCCAAGTAACACGAAACTCGGGTCCAGGGTTTCTCTTTAAATACCTCCAACCACCATGTAATCTCAATATACAGTGCACGCAGTGTCGGGTCACCTAGACTGGTGGCCACATTGCAAATTGGTCGATAGCATTCGATCTGCACTAAATTAAGTACTTGACACACACCACCCAGTGACCAATCAATTGTGACTAAGAATTATTTTTAAGCCTATGACCTCTTTTTCAACACTTAAATATATAAAGCAAATAGGCAAAATCAGAAATTTCTAAAAAAAAATAATCGACATTATAGGGAATCGCACTCTTCGAATACTATCGATAAAGATGAAAAATATTATTCTAATGTTATACATTTAGCTATTCAAGTTGCAGTATAATTATTAAGCTACTGAAATAACAAACAAAGTAGTAAAAATTGATGAGTTTTTTTTTAACTTAATCAACATAACAAAATGCTTCATTTCTTTTTAATTTTTGCTAACTATTGATAATACCCTACAAAAGATTTTTATTTTAAAAGGAATCCAACTCGTTAGTTTTTGAGCAATTCTGTTTCTAAATTCATCTAGTTTTTTTAAGAGTTGCAAGTATTAACCTTAATTATAGGGAAATAAACAGTCATATATGAAGTTTTTAAGCTAAATATAACGTTCAAATGAGTTCATATGTCCTTTATTTATGGTGAATAATGCTGTATACTCATCATGTTATAAATTTATATAATCACATATTTAAATGAAGTGGATATATTAATCTTTCATTAATACCCGGGAATTGTGCAGATCGGAAATGACATTTTACTACAACTAATATTATATTTATTAGGTAGCTTAGTTGACTATATCCAAATTGAGAAAAACCCATGAAAATATTGGGCTAGATATACATTAACAGAAATCACTTTTGAAATGTTACACTATACTAGTACAACAGTATCACAAATACAATTATTTAATTAAACTGTTCTCTATTTTATCTGTTACCACGGATGAATATAAAAATTACACACTGACAAATTTTAATTAAGATTTATTACCAAAACTTAGTTAATCGACAATAATATATCACAATACATTGAAGAATATTCTTTTTCCATATTATATAAATAGCACGTATATGATTGAGAATTTTTATTGAAAATCAATAGATTTTAGTCTTCAAGGTCAAATGATAGTAAACTAACTTCTGATTCGTTATTATAGTACATATAATTTTGTGTACATATATATCTTAGATATAAATCAACATTGATTTGAGTGATTCAAATAACAATTAAATTTCTTTGTTCTTATATAGAATAACAAAACGTGAGAGAAAAAAAAATATTCATAAATGATATTCAGTTTGGTATTTCACATATACTTTCCAAATTTATATCAAAAATCAGTTATAGTTTTAGATTTACATTCTCATTTCATTACAGTTTCCATCATTTACTTAACACTGTTTATTTGTGTTTAATTTTATAGTCTTTGTTACTGTTAAATGTTTTCATGTACATTTAGATTTACTCTTGTAATACATATATATCCTTTACAACACTACGAAATATAAGAGAAAAAGTATATACTGAACAAGCACAATTTGGAACTGACATATATATTTGATAACATATATATGTAATGAAACTTGAAATGGTTCATTTTTAAATATACCAGAAAATTCGCACAGGGTATACTTTC